TCGGTCACTTTAGCTCTAGAATTCCATGGCAAGTGTAAAGGTAAATGATTTTTAGCTTTAAAGTGAATTAAGACAGACAAATGCTCAAAGGTACTTAGAAAAGAGCAAAGTGACCCTGGCATGAGTGCGTTTTAGTGTCTGTTTACTGGCAATTAGTTCGTTAATAACACCCCTTACCGTCTCGTGCTACACGCAAACATTTAAGTAAATGATTTGCGTGCAGATGTTGGAACAGTCTCAATCCCTCTACTCACCCCCTCGCACACTTTGTCGACACCCTCAAACCTGACTACCTTTCTATCTAATGCTTGCGAAATTTGGTACGCGAACTTAAATACACCGTCCCGCCTTCGTTTTTACCAAACAGTACCGCCAGAATTAAGAAACTAGGTTTTCTTCGTGGAGCCATTTGATACCTTGCTTTAGTCAACAGCCACCTTAATAGTGCATTTAAAATATTAATCGCCTTATACTAATCGAAAAAATGATAGCCACTGATAGTTATTGTACTTGCTTTGCAATACTGCTTAATACCCTTTTGAAGGATTAGTCTTCAGAAAAAAAGATTGCGTGAGTCTTTTTTAATGCATCAAAAAATCACCACCTAACTGTGAAGTGTCGTAAAATCGCTAGAAAAAAAGCCTTAACTAAAACCTCTAAGGCTTTGGAAATTTTTATAGGAAAAAGGTTTGCTTACCTCACAGAGTCCTCGGTTAGCTAAACTGCAAAATATTTCCACGTTATCTATGTTGCAGAAATCTTTCGTAATTTGTCTGGTCATTTGCTGTCACGAGAACTCATGTACCCAAATGGTAAAAAAGCAAGCAGTCAGACCATAAAGTGGATGAGAAAAAATTGCATGCAAATGTAAAAAATATCACCTTTTAAAAAAATTGAACTAGTCTGTGAGAGCATGGTTTGCGTAACAAGACGCGACGATGCATGGGAATGATTTACATTCAAATCACTGAACTATCACTATCAAGATTTGAATGAATTCACGCTCACTCATGCCAGGTAAGGATAGCTGCGAACTTACATAAAAATATCCCACGTACCGTGCTGACCACCATACTCTTAAAAGCAGGACATGTGTGCCGTGGTAAACTCTTCTTAATTATCTAAGCCGTTGAGGATAAAACTCAGGAGTTATAATTGTTTCGCTGTACACAAGCAAGTACTCCTAGATCTTACCATGTTACTGTGAAGCCATCTCCTCTTGTGACAGGAGAATGTATTTATTTAAATGCCCTGCTCTTAAGTTTTCAACAAATAATTTTGGTTAGTAAATTAGAAATTAAGACTGTGCAAAATTTCGAATGCATACTTTAAAAAGTCATATTAACTATGATACTAACTATGCTTCTGATGGTTGGTTGCTTATTTCAGCATCCATTTGATTGTTTAAGAATAAACTCGCATTACGCTATCACTGAGTAGAATCAAAGTAGTAGTACTAAAAGTAATATGTCCAATAGATGAGAATAGAATAGGTATTGCTTAATTCTTTAGAGATATACGCAATTGAGCCCTTTAAAAATCAGGTCACAAGGTAAACGATGCCCTTTTTGATGTTTATAGAATAAAAATCTGAAGAATTATGAGGCTTCTACACAGAAACATAATTATCGATCATGTAACACCAAATGTTGTAGCATCTAGTCAAAAACGTCGTCTGCGATAACTCTATATAGCCTTGAGGAAAGACGGTGTAAAATTCACAAGACGAGGTATATTTGTTTTAAATCCAGAATCAAAACTAAGTGAATTTGCTAAACTTTTGTGCAGGTCTTCTACTCTGTCAAATATATTATTGTAAAGGATTGCAAAGGTATCAGGTATAGAACTGCCACGTTTTGCCCGTAACCAGAATCGCGCACTCAAAAAGCCGGTACCACAGATCCCTTATCTGACCCTAAGCATCACCTTTAGACGCTGATGTCGTACCTCGTGCTGAGAACCTTTAATGTCTTAGCCAAAGGCCGAGTGATTTGTCATGATGAGCCCGCATATATAAGTCAACGACGACTTTGACCTGATGGATGGAGGCGGATAAACACAGATGTATCTGTCAGTAGGGTGTTGGGAGTGACTCACACACTTAAGTGGCGTGGATCAGGGAATTGAGTAAACAATGCCGAAATTCAAACCCGCGGTGAACCGTCTTGGGGGAATGCTCTATCCCCAGCAAGAATGTTTAACCACCATAACACATTTAAGAGACGTCGTATAAGCAGGTAACCCAATAGAAAAGGGTTTCAACGTTGAATCAACCACTTTAACAAAACTTCTGCATCAGATCTGGTTTAAAATTCAATTGATCATTATAGGATGACTCAATGACTTTCCGCACAAATTTTCTGTGACTTATAAAACGAGGTCTTTCCTGTGTCAAAGTACGCCTGAGCCTTGCCCTTGGATCAATTTAACTGACTTCTAAATTTGAATCACTAAATGAAAGAATCGAAAATAGTAGAAGTGGTTAAAAATTAAGGCTTATCTGTTACACATATCGGAAATTTTTACGCATAATAACCAATACTGCAACCAAAATGAGGAAGGTGCACCAAGAATTTTTATAGATAAGTGCGAAAAAATGAGGGGCTCTCGTTCACCAGGGAAAGTGCTACAGAAATGAAAGCTTGGCTTGAGCACCTAATTAAATTAAGCAAACGATTAGTTTTTAAACATGTGCAATTTTTTCATGAAGTATAACAAAAGGTTTTAGCAGAATTGAGACTTTGGTGCAGGCAATGCAGTAGTTGAAGTCCAGTGGCTCTTTTCGTACTGTTCATGAAAGAGGGAAGAATGAAGACTGTTGATTGGCAAATTTCAGTACATATTTCAGGTAATGTAGCTCGATCCAGTTGTTTTCCATACTTAAATGAGCAGGAACTGTGGAGATTAAAAGTGACGACTGCATTTTGCATGTTTTGAAGCAAAGTGTGCTAGACAGTGCGAATTCACTGGATTTGTCGCCAATGGCCTCGCCACATCAGCCAAAGTTATTGGCTTATCAGTTACCCCATTTTTTTTCAACCCATATTCCCGAGCTCTTAATTTTGGTGGCTAATAAACCAACCGCACGACTTCAACTTGAGGGGGTGCTTGGCGATAAGACGACTATTTTATGGCCATGCAAGGAACCATGTGGAGCGACTGGTTCTAACTCCCATCTGCCTCGCACGACGTACGAATTGAAAGTGGTAAGAGCCGAGTAAGACTATGGGAAGCACACGATTCCGAGTTGTGCCAAACTTTTTTGCCACCACAAGTTGTTGTCTAGAGATGCGGCACCCCACATCATACATAACTATAACGTGTGAAAAAAACATTCGACAAAAATAACTGCGTCAATCCTTTTTGCAATCACTAACACATATTTTACCTGATTTCACTAAATTCCCTGGTAAGTGTGCCGTGCATGTTATGATTATATTTTCAATTGTTTGAAGGAAACAAATTACGCCTATTTACGACATTATAAGCACAGTACTATCATTTGACGCCTGCCACGATATTTCCTTGTAGTGAAAAATGTACAGATAGGAACGTATTGGCTAAGAGTCGTTCATAATTGTGAAGAAATGAGTGATTGATGTCGATTTGGTGCTGACGCGACCCTAGGAAGGTTTTTATTTCCGTCAAAGTCTCTTACCTCGTTGTCCCGCATACATCTCATTCGTAAACATGACTTTATTTACACGAATGGTTGTTGGAAATGTCAGTGCTTGGGCAAAGTCCCCAAGTACAAAAATTACTGTAAGCTGAATGTAAGCACAACGTTCAATATGGGTTGCTTGTGACATTAGTGATACCGCTTCGCTTATCTTCAGCACATTTTTTTGCGAAAATTAATACCGGTTTTAATAACTCGCCATATGGAATTCTTCCCAAATAAAAGTTTAAACATTCACAGTCACAAGGCCTTTCTCATCAATGCCATGTGTTCTTGAATTATCATTTAAAATACGCTCAGTAACTATGCAGTTACGAAGGCGTGTCCTTGAAGGGACCAATTACTTTTCACTGTTCTGTAGTGAAAGCTCCTTCAACCTTTGGCACATAATTCCCTCCTCCGTCTAACGAAGGTGTGTAGTGGAGACATTAATTGGAACGTCGAAGCGTCATGCTTTCTATGACCAAACAACAAACACACAATACGTGTGGGTGCGGGGCTAACGTAGACAAATTTTCTGCGTGCGTTTAGTTTTGATATGAATACCGAAACTTCACTTGCAACATTAGATTTAGTACATCCTGGTACATTTTATTCTTTTGGGACAATGCACTTCGTATTGGCAGACTGTCAACCAAAAATTCTTCGCGACTTTTCTTAATTGCTCAGTTTGAACAAGGCTAAGAATTGGCTAAACTTTCTAGGGCGACGCGAAACAGGATTAGCAAAATTACTGAAATAGTCAGTCTGCAGGACCGAATTAGCAGTTGAAAACAGTTTGTCATTCCACTTTTTTTATTAAAAAAACCATTACGCTGGTTTGGCCAATCAGGAGGAAGCACCAGGTGGAATCGGAGCTGGGATGAGGCTGACTAACCACCATGGATTCATGAGCAACCACTGCGAAACAAATAAGAGTTACGCATTCAGTGTGTACGGATCCATTCAAGTCAAAGGCACTAAATGGCTTGAAGACTATTGTGGGTAAAAAACAAAACCCAAATCTATCAGTCAAGAAAGCAGATAATTAAACTCAGGATATTACACAAAGCCTAGGCTTTTTATAATGTCCGTAAAAGCATTACAAATGACACGAGTAATAATTTATTTTATATTGGATTAATGTTTGCAAATAAGACAAAACAGATTATTGAAAGAGGAGACGCCTCTCAGTAGATTTAAAAGGAAGTCAATCAAATGCGTCGCTGGAGGATTGGATTAGCGTAGGGACTGTACAAGCCGTATATTGCACACTGATTACCGGGAGATCACAGGATCACAGCCAGTTGTAAGAAAGTGATAAAACATCGTCTGCTCAGAGTCAATGAGGAGGAATTCCAGTTCGGTGAAAGTAGACACCAAACCAACCGGGCCGAGTAGGGCCGGGGCATGGATGAGGACAGAACCGTTCCAACGAAAGGACAACTCCCCAAAGGAAAGAAATTGACATGAGAACAATCATAAAAGCTATTAATGGGTAGTAAGTTGAAGTGAGTAAACCATTCCGTGGATCAGCACATTCCTGGTCTGGTTCGCTGGGTGAATTTTGGTTCGAGATATCAACGTAACGATCCGGAGAGCTGTGATTGGTGTCAGTTCGGGAGAGAGGTCGCACTGTTTGCTGACTTGAATCTAAGTCACTGCTTTGAGTCTAAAGCCACATGACGTGGAAAAGGAAAGTCAATTTAGAATAAATTATCATCAGTCTATTCTGAAAACGTGTTAAGTTAAGCCTGGATAAAGTAACAGCGTGTACGTCAAAAACGAAATCTTTGATCATGGAAATTTGCGGTTATCAAAATTCTGACTAAACAGCTCGGTTGGGAAAGTCTAGATGGAATTTCATCGGTGTTACCACAACCCCCCTAATCACGCCACTTCATTTGGTCACCCAATCCCTAGGGCCCTCTTGATCCATTGGGTCAAGGTCACTCAAGGCATTCACAAGCTGGTCACTCCGACGTGTCACTCATCTTTGACTGAGACACTAAGACATCCCTGCACGAGGTCTCGTGTTTGTCAAAGCTTAGGGATGTATCTGTTTACTGATAACCATAACAATTTCTAACGGTGGGATTGCAGTAACGGATTTTGAACATCACAGCAAATTATCGCAGATTTATAGTAACAGGGAAATAAGAAAACTGTGTACCGTGACTCTGGTGAGTGGTGTTGACATTTGCAGCCGATCAGTGAGAGACTCCAGGTACGCAAACCTAAAAGGGCAGGCGAAAAAAAACATACGTATAGACCAAAATTGAGTAAAACGATCGACAAAACAAACTATATACAACCAAACCCACAAATATTTACTCTGCAGTCGACTGATCTAACAGAATTACACAACATTATAAGCCATTCGAAACTGGAGTACGCGGGTTCAGAGAATACTTGATAGGTTATGCGACATAGGAATAGGGCACGTTTTCTTTGATTAGTGCGCATTTCGAAATTCCTTTTCGTCAGTGCATTGCCAAAGACGAGACAGGTAGTATCAATGTCAGTTTCATCTTTAACAAAAACGCAACTTCAGTATTGTTTCTTACCAACAGCTGCTTCTCCCGCGTCTTAAAAAGACGGTTTCACTCTTAATGCATAACTGCAAAGCGCGATAGATTGATTTTTTAAATTACAGTTTATGCTTCAGCAGACAGCAGGGTTTGCGAGTGGAAAAAAAATATTAAGAAGTGGAGATTAGAAGCTCATAGAGGAAACGGAGAGAAGTTGAAGACTGCAGAGTGAAGGAACACACAACGTCCGGTCCAAGACACACAAAACGGTTTGTTCAGAAAAACTTTTCAGGAGAATGTACTGGCGCAAATGTGCGCGAGCATTACTTTTTGCTTTGGTAAAAGCAGGGAAATTTTTACTAGAAGCGCGAATCGCAACCCTTACGCTTTCAGTTGCCTCTCCCTTGCTCGGCATAAACAAAGAAGGAGGACTTGAGTACACGCGTAGTGGATACAGCACAAAACCAAAGAGCTACGTGGCCTCAAGCCAGACAATAAAATACACATCAAAACAGGAAAACATTCGCTAGTTCAAAGGACCATGACAGGGGTTGAGGTGGATTAGTGATTAAAAATCTATCTAAGACTCTCAGTAAGTCTAAATTTCAACACCAGCGGCACAACTGCAGAATGACTAAATTTATATGTAGAATTACTCACTCAGATCTGGCTGAGCTTGCTTGATCAGCAAGGGAACACGCCTCTTCAATGGCCTGATCTAGTAGGTTGTTATAACGTTTCGCAAATTGTGTCTCCAGATGAGAAAGCTCGGGAGTGTCTGGGTCAACGAAGTGCAGACGATTCATCTCCTGTCGTCTCTGTTTTAAAAGCAGTTGCCGGAGATTTTCAGCTTCTTCAGTCACGCTGTGAAATTCGGTGCCTAATACCTTTATGAAAATGTAGAGAAAAAGGGCTTAGAATGCAGCATTCCACTTGCATAATTTACTAAGAAAAACATTCATCACGAAAAATTGGGTCTGGGGGACTTGGTGTGTATTGAAGAGCCCATTCAAGCTATTTTGACCTGAGCATGAGAACGTTAAACATTATTCTGAAAAAAAACCAGTAGATGACAGGAGTGGCTTCATGATGAACCTGGGGTGTAGGGGAAGGGTGGGAAAGGAAGAAGATCCCATCCTCTTGTTACCATTAGGTAGTCGTTGGGATACATAATGCGAACGATTTTAACACGGTGACGAATTCAAATTGTAACTTGAGAAGGTAATTAGTGCATAATTACGAGTCATTTCGATTACAGCCTCTACGATTTCCATTACAACGAGAGTGGAATTTTGATATACTAAAAAATGGTGCTTTTTTCGGGAGGAAATATTGGTATTAAGCCCTTTGCATGCAAGCAATACGTAAAAGGATCACAATCGGTAGGGCACAAAAGGTACATAAAAAACCAAAGTTAGGGGATAAATCACAAGTAGGAAACGTAGTCTTCTCTCGTGTCTATAACGTTGGCTTGTAAGTATTTACTCGCTTCCACACTGGTCTGGTTTATTTCCGACGAGAACCGTATTGGAAATTACAACGCTAGTAGTAATAAGATTTAGAAACAAAAGAAAACGGAATTTCATAAGACGAAAAGCGCCTTTGAATAAAATTGCGTACTGAATTCAAAAAAACGCATCTAAAACTATCGCACCTCAGGCGTAATTCGCAGGCCAGGAATGGAAGTGGATGATACCACTAGTAACAAATTGCAGTTGACTTGCGCCAAGCTTATCAAATACAATATCGCACAAAACCAAGTCGCGAATAATTTCCCAGTTTTTGGCATAAGGTTAGACGGCCGTATAGATTGCAGCATTTGATATGGCAGCACGAGTGTCATTTTAACGTCGCAAACAGATAAAACAGTTATTTTGTGAGTCTCTGCGATGTCGTTGTACAAACAACCACGCAAATTGTTGGGAGAATCATGCTCATGAAGTCAGAATCTACGTTCAGAATACAGCCTTGGTCAAACACTATTAAAGAACACAGGGTGCTTAGGACACCAAAGTCGTATATTGGGGGATTAAGTCGCAAAATGGCAAACAAGCAGAGCGACTGACGACGAGTAGACGAAAATCTGACAAGAATTCTATGACAAAGGGCGGCAATTTTGAAGACAATTCAAGTAGATTGAATTCCAACTGATTGTGCTCGAGTGAGCAAAAATATCTCACCAGACATTCAATGAGATTAACAAAATGAAAAGTTTGTACAATCTAGGAAACGCGGCTGCGTAAGACCACGAAGTAAAAAAAACAATGAAGGACACCGAAATGACATCAAAAATACGACTAAATAATTAACTTTCAGCTTAAATAACTCTGGGTGAAAATTTAAAAAGAATTTTGAGAGAACGCATATAAGTCAAAGCGGCCCAAGTACCTAATGTCATGCATGGTTGTTAAATATGCTCAGCGACCTCTTTTAAAACTCCAGCGGTTGTGGATTTGACATCACAAGTTTTGCCCCTATACTCTGCCAAGTAGTTCGGATTTTAACAAAAAAAGTGGAGACCTAGGGATTATAAAGTCACACATAGTGTCATCGATTAACTCGCCATCAAGTGAAGGTCATGCTACAGTCCTCATTACGAGAAAAATTCTTCGTAGACACCAAGCGCAAGCCAACCAAACAAAAGAACCTACCAATTTTCAACTACTGATGTGAGCATTATGTTAATAAATTTACTGTATTCGCATTGGCGAGACGCTTTTTGAGAAGTCACAACAACGGCGAACCAGTAAAAATGAATATGGGTAATTAAAGTACTACTTCAGATAGGTTATTACACAAATGTTGACGAAATTGATTGCATGGTGGACTTAACACAAAAACTCTGAACCACCGAGGTAACTTGGTCAATGGCGGTTTTGAAAAACGCCAGTGCGTATTTGCTTGATCACGTCAAATTTTACTTTAAATTCGAGTTTTTTTGGCAATGATTGATATTTTACTTTAGTTGGTAAGACCTTAGTACGCAGTACAATGAGGAACCGTTGCAATAAGACATTGAGAGACAAGTTGAAACGAGTAGTCTGTGCCAATCGCTTGTGTGGACAGAGTAGGCGCGCAATTTAAGCAATCATTTTGGCACCTCGTGTGTGTTGCAATTCAATCAAAGTTTTGGAGATAATAGGAGGGTAAAAGAAAAGGCATGTAAAAAACCCTATAACGACAAATTGTGTGCAGAACACGAGTATTGCATTTCATGCAAAACGGACTTCCATCCCATCGCCAAAATACACAATCGGGTCTCCTGTCATGTTTAGCCTTCGCGCACTTTCGCGGTGAGACCGAGCCTCAACACTGCCATCGTCCACGTACGTTGTTCAGCATCTTTAGATCACCTTGGTGTCGATAATTTGCGCGAAAGGTCATCTGACGTACATTCAATAACAGATAGTGCTAAATACCGGAGCCCCGTCAACATTGTTCTCATGACTTTTCACTATGCCATGATTGTAAGACAACAATGACATCTACAAGTGGTCGTCCCAATGTCCAAAGCACTAAAACCAAGCGTACGATCTTGAGTAGAGAACGAATAGGGCGCTAAGGAACAAAGCTTTCACCTGGAGATTGAATGAAGGTCCGCTGTTTGACAGCAAGCTAGTGCGATTCGATACGTTGCCAGAAAGTCGCCGTAGCAGGCTCACCTTGGTGGAAAGCTCGTGGATCCTATCTTGCAGAGTTTTGAGATTCTGCAGTTCTGATTTCCTGGAGTGGATCCATTTCAACCAAATTTTCCACCGGTCACATAGCGCAGCAACTTGCTGAGAATGTAATTCACCTAAGATTATGTAAAACTGAAATAAGTGACAAGCAAAAACTCATTCACTTACTGGTACGATACCTACCTGGTCGCATTAAACGCTCCAACATTCTCACGTTCTGCTCAACTGAATTAAGCATACAATTGAAACTTTTAATCATACTGGACGGGGATGTCGACTCATCAACGGCAACCGTACACCTCATCTGCCTCCTACCCCTATGTACTGAAAAAAACTCAACAATAATTTTTTTTTCAATAAACATGTTTAGTGATATTTATTAAGTAGCAAAAACTTGCCAAGTGTGTTTGCAGATGGCTGGCTGCTATTTGAGCCACCAGTACCGACGACAATCCCATAAATGAATTCACGTAACTGAATTAAACTGCGCTCTGATTGAAGAAGAATGTCAATGCTGCTGGTTCCATTTGCGGAACCCTGTTCAGAGGGCTCCTCCGTGATGGCAGATGATGGGTTGCAGCGATAGTTGTGAGGAGAATGCACCGTTTGAACAGCCGAATCATGGGTCACGACATGGGGTAATGAGTTTTGCTGGCTCATGCTATTCGAATCTCGTACTGAAGAGAAGGAAGTCCGTTGGAAAAACGAATGCGCTAAGTCTGGACCGGATTCGTATCCAGACGTGTGAGTCTAAAACATCCGAAATTGGCATGAAGTTCTTCTCACATTGCACAATTCTAATCCCTGCAGACGTGTCAATTTTAGCTAAACGTAGCAAAGTATACTTTGAAAAAGTGAAATGCTACTTAATTATAGTTTCAGGCACTTGGCATGTTGTAGATAATGTTGCAGTTTTATTCATTCAAGGATCCAAGTAATGAATTCACAAATAATTTCATCAGTAGATGGTGCTGCAAGATCGGCCAAAAATGCGTGTTAAGTGGAGGCGTAAAATTGATGTTTCTACAACAGTAAATGAGCCCAAAACCGAATGACCGAGTCCAGTAGCTGAAAAAAGTTCGCTTTTAAAGAAATTCGATGTCACAGCCAAAGACCAATTTTGAGGTCATTTGGTAAAAGAGCTCAAAAAACTAGGATACCAGGATAAACAGAGAATGCAAATTTACGGAAAGAAGTTCCAAGGGAGTGCGGAAGTATCAACGATGAATTGTACAGCCCTGGGCATAGAACTAAGTATAGGGGACGACAAAAATAGACTTTTGAGCTTTCTGATCGTCTGACTCTCAGCCAGTAGTAATCTTTACAGAGTCCGAGCATGAAATGGATTTTTTTCTAATTTACTCACAAATCCATTATGCATCACCTCAGAAATGGAACGAAGACTGGAATTTACTTAAATCAGGACCAGCTCCAAGCAACACAAACATGTCGGCCACGTTGACATCTACTAAAATGGTGTTTTATTATACTTACGACAAATGCGGAAACACACACAGTCTCTCAAGGCTTCGAAAAAGACTGATGTAGTTGATGTGTATTTAAAAGAGTCATCATAATGAAGGCATTAGCATTCATCAACTTCACCCCAACTTCGCAGTATAGGCGGGGATAGCTCAGCTAGCTCAGCCCTTTTAATATTAGGCCGCCTTTCTTCGAAATAATTTCTTCCTAAGTCAGATATTTCTAAAATTCTTTTACTGAATATTATCTATAACTGGTAATTTATTTTAACTATCCATAGGTGAGCTATCAATTCAGGAAAACTCTTAAATATCATTTACTGTGGTAGGATCCTGCGATATTATCCCGAGAGATGCGTTAGAATAGGCAGTCGTCGAGAGAACATAGCCGTTTGGCTTGATCTCGCTGACGACTTCGGTTTGCAGACACTTGTCCACCATTTCGATGCTCGCCACGGGTTGGGCATCATCCTCAGAGAAGGGGTCTTTGTCGGTGCCCTCCAAAAGCATGGCCGAGCTCTGGCTCCTGGCATCGTTGTCATCTCGAATGTCGTCTGTGTCGAGGTTCGAGAGTGGTGTGCAAGAGAGCCCATCGAAACTCCACTCGTCAATCTGGCGCGTTGTGCTCTGCAGCCGCTGATGGCACGACTCAAAGTCGAGGGCCTCTGTTTCATCGAAGAAGACGTCCTCCCAAATCAAGTTGGCTGGTACATTGGCTTTCGGCCCCATTGAACTCAGACCACCCAGACAGGAATAATAGGGTGCCTGAAATTGAAAAAAAAACCAAATGCTAGTGTTTCCTTTTATCCTCAAATTCGCAATGACGGCAGATTTACAGCTACAGTGGACTGCACTTAAAGTGTGAAAACCGGGGAAATTCAAGCGCCCTACCTGATAATTGTCCCAAAAAGTTGTCAGATGCTCAGAGACCTCCAGCGGGTAGGTTGTCGTGTCATCTGGTGAATGACTCACACTAACAGTCTTATCCGTCTGGGGCCCGTTGAGATCATCGAGCGACCACGCACGGGCGGCTGTCGCCTGTGCTAAGTGGTCGGCCGACCAACTTTTGCGCAGTTTCGCTGCACGTATATCGACGTTGGAGTTGCTGTGCTGCTGAGAGATCGCCATCTCGTTGGTCTCGGCCGCGGCGAGGTAGGAGTCGACGCGTTGCTCACTGCTGCCCTTTTTCGCTTCACTTAGCACCGCCTCAGGCGAGAAGGTGCTGACGATGTCCGAGCCCGTGGGCATTTGCGAGATTATCTTGCGCGCTTCAGAATGTGAAATTGACGCGGGACTTCGTGGGAGATCTTGCACGCGTTTCATTCCTGTAAATAAAAACTGTTAGTGTCCGAAAAAACACACGAAATCAAATTTCGACAGCCAAAACGTAATTCATTTTCAAACAACACTGGCGTGCTTGATTAAAATCTAGCCTCTTCATTTAAGACGGCCCGCTCGCACGTAGTAAGGAGATACTACTTCTCATAATTTAGTCGATATCAAAAGTAATATGCTAGGACCACCAAAAAAGTGGTAAGGGTCTTCCAAAAAGTGTATAGGTAATGACAACTATGGTGGGGTTCGTCTGTCAAACTAAGAAGTTACCTAATTGCGGTTTGAAAGAAGAAAAGCAGTGTGGTGAGCTACGCAAGAATCTTCCTCTGAAGTAAAGTCTAATAACAGGCAAATTTATGCAGGGACCCAAAAAGCATTTGTAAATTGCTGAACATGCAGGTCATTTTAATACCCTTGAACGCACTACGGTCATTGCATTTGTGTTGTTCAGATGTGAGATGATGCCAAAGTCATTTCGGCATTGCGCTACGAATAGCTTACCTTCGAAGTAAACATTAATTACACTGTAAGGTATAAAGACTGTTGAGAGAAAAAACTAGAACCTCGATGAGTTTTAAAATGCAGAGCGGATTGGCAAAATTTATTCGGTGATACCATGTAAAGCCAAACTCAAACTGATAAATGAATTGACAGAGGCAACGGCTTAATTGAGGAACACTTTGTACTGATTGCGATTACTGTGGCCAAAAAATATATGGTATGATTCGATGTTTAACAACTATTTGAATGATCAAATTACGCTTATTACGTGGAACGCATGATGCGATACTGGGTTGAAATAGACAATAAAAACGGCACACCAGCAATAGTTGTGTGCCACATCAACCAGTTTGTCAATTGGAAAATAGTACTCATATATAGGATTTCGTTTCAAGAATGTATTAACTAAAACCAAACTAAATATGTGGCCTCACCTGTTGCCGACGAACCGATCAGTACGCCATTGCGAAATTTCAACTGTCTGGTGAGGAGGCTGGGCCAATCAGACTTGGACAAACATTCTGGCTTAGGAAGATATCCCCCGGTGTCCCTATTGACACAACAAAAATACTCTAGTTGAGAAAGCACAAAAAACAGGGCTAAATAGCAAGGCCTATTAGTTATTGTTCACAAACTATTGGTGTAAAATGAATTAACAAATTCTGTAATCCATTTCTTTGGCCGTACCCGTGGCTACCGGTACATTATGAGTCAGCGACGGATTGTATAAATGACCACCAAACCGCAGCAAAAGGACCAATTGGAGGTGTCACGTTCAAATAAAGAAGCATAAAGCAAATTTTGACACTAAAACTACATTTTCAGGCGTTTTGATGTGACAAATCATCGACCACCACCCATCACTCACACTCGAGTGCCTCCAAACCACTTTCCTTTGAGTTGCCTTGAAGTTCGCTGTTGTTGCTGCAGTAAACATTCTAACCACACCCTTATCCCGAGGAAAACGTTTTTATGAATTAACCGGACTCACGTCTGCTGTTGCAAGCGAAGAAGCAACCTATCGCCTAAGACAACCAAAAAACTCACCCAGCATTTCGCAGCTTATTTTCATTATCATCGATCGCGTTTTCTTCATTATCGCCAGTTACCATAGTAGCATGGGCGTCACCATTACAATGGCTTTGCCTGTTGATTTCTGTTCTATTTGATGTGTTAGATCCAAGCATATTTGAAGAGACAGCTAGAAAAGGTAATGAACGAACCTCCATAAGACTTACATTCAATCAAATGCTAGCAGGACGACGACAAACTCCTGTCTTAATGTTGAGCAAGTCTCTGCACGAGTGGCACACTCTTGTATTCTAATTGGTTCAAAAATTCTGACTTTATTCGGGGACCAATCACAACAAGCCCATGTGAGGTAGTGAACTTGCGCATAGCGTGACCTTAGACATAGCGAAATTGATGTCTCGAGTAACACATAGGCACACAACCTTCATGTGTCGGGAAAGGTAAAGTGTGATGACAAAAAGAGCACCAGACCGAGAGCGGAGGGTGCATTCCATAAAGCGATTTACTTCTGGTATACTTTAGAGTTGACCTTTCAGGACTATAAACAACGCATGGTTTCAGCAATTACTGTAATATAAAGCCACATTGCAAAGGAAGTTTGTCCTTTAAAGCCGAAACAAAATTATACCACTTAGGTTTGGAGGAAAACAGTTATAAGGCCACAACTGACCAAACTTCCACCAGCCTATTCGAAAAACTATGTGCAATGTTTGGGCTAGCCATAAAGTTGGAGAATGAAGTCAAATTTACTCAAGACCTAAAGCAAAAGACAGACAAAAAATTAAACAAGAATAATTTAGAAATCGCTCAGGTCCATTTCCTAGTCCACCATATTAGCCAGACTGAAAGTCAACTTGACGACACCGATCCCAGACAACAATCTCCATAATTTGGCCAAAGACACTACACAGGAGCTGTGAGATTCAAACCGGGTGCATAGGTGACCACGAATACATGACGGAGGAGCATAGACTTATGGCTACCATCTGATTTTAAATTAGATAAGACTCGTTTCGAAAACCGATTATAGTAATTTTAGCAGGATGTCGAGTCGCGAAAGGCCCGACCAATCGAAACAGCTACTTTCCACTACTTTCGGCCTTGATAATCAATTACGTTTACTAGTAAAAGTCGTCATGACTTTCACAGTTGACGCACAAACCAAGCATCACGCTTTCTCTGGGTGGAAATACAAGCACTAGCAAATTTCACCTCTTTATAAGTTTCGTTGATTGCAATGCGCGAATTCACAAAAAAAGTTGGTTGATACTGTTGACTAATTTATGGCACATATTTTGTTCAGAACTTTAATTACTCAATCTACGTTAAACAGTTCAGGCCAGTTAGCTTTTCACCAGAATGCAGTACAAATCAATCTCCACAACCGTAATAGATACAACGACATGGACCAAAATGTGGCATAAAAGAAATTCCACATCTGGCGTGAAACAACGCTTGAAGTAGTAGCATTGTAGAACAAGAGTGATACCAAAAATGACCAATTTTGACTTTTGATCAAACTTAAACTAAAGATCAGATTCCCCACTTCCTTGAAAACATAATCATCCAGAGCGATTAAACGACATTCCCTGAAAACCGGGATAAATCCCTATTCTCAAACTTAACAATTTTTGCAGCTTATGCGTGAAGTAGGCATTTTGTTATGAGAAACGCTAAATACCCTCGCCTCAATGTCAACAATCACATTCGTTGGTCCTAACCTAAAAGTGCGTTTTACGTGTCTACAACCTCGTAATTCAAGCTGTTTTTCTCACACCATTAAGGAAACCGGAGTTGTCAGTAAAACTCACAGTGCAGAATACACCACACGCTCATTTCATTGGCATGAATCTGGGAAGACCCACGTGCAACTAAACCTCATGCACTTCGACGTATTTACTACATAACTCAACCTCAATACAACCAGAGCAGGAAATGTTACAGATTGCCACAGTTCCAACTATTTTGCTAGTCTTGATAAAATCCCAGGTGAGATAACTAGAGCACAAAATTTTGTCATACTGAATGGTCGATGAATCCATTTGATGCACACCGATTCAAGATCCTGACCAGAAAAATATCCCAGGTTCAAATTCATCATTTGAAGCCAAATAAACAAAAATATCCTGTACTGATGACAGGTACAGGAAATTTTGAGCTATGCAGCGACACCCACACACACGAGCATTAGCTTAAATTCAGGCAATTGCGGAAAACTCATGTAACATTAGACGCAAGACGAATTCCAAGGCTAATTTTTACAATTCTACCTAGAAAACCAATTCGGCAGCAGCACCTACTTTTAGGCTTTAACCCGTTCTTTTGACTAGGTTCGTCATTGGCCGGGACATTAACTGATTCGAGTGAACCGTCGTGGGCAGCTGGTGCTTCTGACTGGCGCCTGTCTACCTTCCCAATCTGAAAAGAAAAAAAAACTTAAAATCAGGTGCAAAAGGAACACTGACGTCGAGCGCATGAACTGTTCTGCTCTTTAGTTCTTAGGAAGCTAAACAGACTTCTGTGTTCTAACGTTGGTGCCAGTACGAAATAACAATCACCTCTCGCGATTGTTCATTCGTTCGAAGTAAAAGCCTGTCATTAAGACTCAAACAGCGCGGGTCTGGTTGAAAAGTTATAGGCGCCATCCGCAAGACACTGTGCTTGGTCGTAGAAATATCTTTTCGCCAGTTCTGAAGTCGATCGAGCGAGAAAGTGGTCGTCTTGTCGAGTTCATTTGGGGACGCGCGCCTGTCGAGGAAGAGAAGTAACTCAAGCAGACGAATCCACACCTCGTAACAGAGCTTCTCACAGGAGGCGTTTGAAGTGTGGAGGCGCTTTACTGTGGTGGACATCTGCTTATCTGGGGGTTTTTCTCTGGTCAAGAGACGAAGGAGTCGGTGGATCGTGGAAATGCACTTGCCGCGCAGATGGACTTCACTGAGTGCGACCTAAAGAAGGCACTCTTTTATTTGCGATTTTGGTCTGATGGGATAACTAATTTGTCACGCACACAATCAACGTGTCCTGTCAAAACTAGTGACTACGTGTTGCATAATATCTATCAAGCGTTTTCCTGATGAAGTCAGTCATGTAAAATTGTAAAATTGACACAATTACGCTTTAGATGCACTCTTATGGCTCACTTCATTACAATGACAACCATTTTACAAATTCGCGAAGAGATTAATATAACGATAATCAGAACATGCAATTATGGACCTCATGAGTAATGAACAAAGGAACCTGAGGCTATTGTCTCTAAAACGCCACAATATGCATTAGACAGAATAATTACTGTTTATAAACTATTTATCTCTGCTAAATATTAGATGCGGGTGGGGAATTTCAGCGTCGACGCATATTTTGAAGGTGAACAAAGCTTTCAGCTAAATGCCAGTCAAAACACTAACTTAACTCCATCTCACTCTTCTTTTTAAAGAATTAACTACAAGACTTTTGCCTTCGCGTAATTGAGTTTTGACACTCTATTGGAAAAGAGGAATGATTTGCACGAAACTGTGCTCAAAATTGCTCCGCAAGTTATGACTGGCCTTACGATAAGCATAGATACGCATTGACCGATAAAGTCTTAACAAGTAGGTAAAAATAACTAAGGGTTAAGGAGGAGGAGGGGTGGATGCAACCTCCGTCAAATTCTTTACAGCCGCAGAGCGTGGCAATCTCATTTTCGTGAAGTGACAGTTAGACTGTGATGCCGAACAAGAAATTGCAAAAAGTATCGACCTAGTTTAACCCACCCTGTAATACGTGAGCGATGCGTCACGTTCTGGGTCACTGAGGCAGGTGAGAAATTGCATCCAGTTTTGACGGTGAGGAAGGTCTAAATTTAAACCACAGTATGCATCTGAACTTCGCTAATGCTAAACAGCACAAGAGAAAATTCGTGGGAAGAACTGTTTCAGTTTGACTTGCGTCAATCGAAAAGAACAATATACTTAATCAAAAAGGGTGCTAAGGTTGCAATAAACTGTCATTCCACAGCTACGAACACTCGAGCACGTGAGTTGGAAGAAAATTTTTCCTTACGCGACCCAGCAACATCAGAGTGGATCAGATATGAGTGATCCCACAGCGCACTAACTGATTCAGAATGTTGAGAGCCCCGACATGCTGGCTTAAATTAAGCCAGGGCCACTGCGTTGAATCTGGCCCGATCACGCTATCCTGGTATCTGCGATGAAGGATAAGACCGGAGAGGACGACCGAACTCGTGTTATCGTTTGAGTGCATTAAAGATAGTGCACGATTCATGTTTTTTTTTTTACGAATACAGATGAGCGTATTGTGGGCCCCAGAATGTGACATTGAACCACGCCTGGGCCACTGAGTTAACCCTGGCCCGATTACGCTACCCCGATACCCGCGATGAAGAAGACCGTAGAGGACGTGGACACAACCGTTTACTTCAGAGCTCAACCGCGTTGGTGTCGTTGTGTCGTGTGTGGCGTTCGCGCTTGAGGGGAAGCTGAGGAATCGCCAGGCTGGCGACACGTTGCAAAGGGGAGGGACCTTGTGTCCGAGGCTGGGGTTACCGGATTAACGAGTGTGAATCAACGCAATTCATAACAAGCGGACTAGTTAAAATACAGACCTTTGAACGGTCACATGGGTAAAGCTGGTAGTGGTGGTACAAGCAGAGGGGTGCATGAGCAGGCGACCTTGTGTGACTGACGGTCACGCCATGAATAAGACTGCAACGACCGGGTCAATGGGTGTGAAACAAAACGATTCACTACAGGAACAACGCGATTAACCAAATACTGAACTTTGAAATACCACGCGTAAGACGGCTGTATGTTCCACTCCCCCCTCAAATATGTATAAGGCTGGGCAGGAGGATGACAACAACGTGCGGTACCACGAATGACCGTGGCTACTAATTTCGTGGGTGGAGATTCCTGGACCTAAGATACTGCTGACCCCAGAAACAGCATCCTCTTGTATTAAAAAAAGAACAAGACACATGGGCACATACTTGATTGAATTCGGCGGAGCCAGCAGAAATTCGTCTCCAAGTCCTGCTCGATCGCTGCAACACAAAATTGCGACGAAAGTGCTACATGGCATGCAATATCCTTTACTTAAAAATACAAGTAGAACATTTTATGGCGGTGCAAAATCGCACTACCTAGTATTAAATGTTTCCTGTCCCAAAAATAAACAAGATAAATTACAGTGATTTAGGCTAGAAAGTTCATGATGCTGGTTTAATAAATTAACTAGGATGCTTCCTAAGCCATCGTTGTTTATCGACAAATTTAAAACCATCATTAAACAAACGAAAAAAAACTGGAAGAGGACGCGCTAGCCCAAATTATGGGCCCAGTATACCACAGCTCGATTTTCAACTTATTTCAGCTCCAGTGATTTTGCTAGAGTATTTGCCTATTTCCTCGTGTTAGGTGTCTTTATTTAATAGGATCAACAAGTCTTGGGGGTTGAAAGGCTTATAATGGGTTGTGGGGGCAACGTTGGACACGGGAAACCCGGAAAAGAAAGAGAAGTGCGTCAGTATCGACAATGCGTCCTCGTATCTAGGCCACGCAGGCTTTAGCAAGCGCACGGGGCTTGTCAGCGCGCGATTCCTTGCGGTTGACGCCCAGGCCGCGTCGCAGCCCGGGGGCCGCTCGAGTGAGTCACCGAGGTGCAGCAGTCCAGACCCCACCACCACCTTCACCGCAGTGCGGCATTGTGTGAGAGGGAACGGCTGGCTGCCGGCACAGCGGTTGTGCGTGCGTGCGTGCGCGCTGCACCGGGTGGACCCAGTGCGGTGTTGACGCAACCACCGCACCTCGGTTGCATTGTCCGCGCGCGCACGGTTGCCCCAATCCAACATGACCCCACGTTTTGTATACCATTACCACATTCATAACACGTAGATGAATCGTTCTGCAAGCGCAATTAGTTGTCCACTTCCATATTTCACAGTTTTAAATAAATCTTGCAAACTAGTATAACACTGAAAATGGTGCAGATGCCATTAAAGTGTCCTTACTAGATCAGTTAACGTACATCTGAGCATCCAAATGCTTCGATAGAAGGAAAGAGGAATACTACGAGGTAATTTCCTCAATGTAGCGTAAGAACATGATGGGAAACGCATACAATCCCTTGTAATTTGATGTATTTAACTTAGGAAACTCGCAATCCGGTCTTTAGCTCTTATAGAAGCACTAATAGGACAGGCATATGCAAATAAAAATGACTTAAAAGCGAACTCCCCTAAGACCAGTTGATAGAAAAATACGCGCGTTACCTATACAAGCCACATTTGATGAATCAACTCTATCATTTATGGTCACTGACAATTCCCTTCACCCTGCGACTCACAAGCACTCGTGACCTTATACTCCGTTCGATGGAGCAATCTAGCATACGGTTTGTTCTCCCAGATAACGCTTAGCGTAACTTGGTTAAAACACTAATTTCTCCAATTGTGGGTGTATTATCTGGTGATGTAAAAATAAAATTCACGAAGCCCTTCGGGAAGTTGTTACATCACTCCCACGTTGGTGGTTGCAGTGCCTGGCGCAGAGCATGAGCTAGGCTCGGCCGCGCGACGCAGTGGACCGGACAACACGGGAGGGCTATTGATCCAGACGACGGTTGCTACAGAAACGCCTGACAAAAATTGCCCAGCCATCTGCCTTGTTGGATAACACAGCGTCCAGAAAACGGGTGAATTGCGAACACATGTCGAGTTTGAAGGTTTTCTTCTCAAGAACTGCTGCAGCTTAAACAGCACACAGTTTAATTAAACTGTATTCACAGGCGCCCTGCAGTGTATGCGCGATAAAACCACCCAACCCGGACCTGCGTTTGCAGCATGGCACTGCACATGCACGTGAAATCACGTTGAGGTTGTTCTGCACCAAACAAATCTTTGGGTAACCACGGGATTAGTTATAAAGGCTACCCAAGAGTACGGCTAGAAGGCTACCCGAGAGACGAATTGTATTTTAGTGGGATAGGCAATCCGATTTGTGGTTATAATTGAGCGATCTTGTTGACCCATACAAATAACTCCGAAATTCCAGTCGTTTGAAGCAGTTGCTAGAAACGTGACGTGGGACCCTATCCAGATCCACGTCATTACACAACCTTAACAATTTATGGATCAGGCCCCAGTGTGAGAGCGTCATGGCAGGCGCACATCATCGTAGGGAAAATTGACAAATTCGTACTCGGTGAGACCCAACCAGACGCAGCTCGTGAAGAAGAAATGGGATGTTGTGGGAAGCAAAGCACGAGTGCTCGTTTGTGCTCGACTTGAAAAACAAATTAATGGGTTTTTTTCCGGCGGGTGACTCTAAGCAATTTCAAGCAGACATGCAAAAAATTCGTCAATAGGCCACATCCCACTCCCCTTACTTTCAAAAGCACATTTGTGTTTATAAATTGTGGCGTCAACATTTGTCCAGACTAACACCTTCAAAATCACAGCAAAGGAAAGTGACAAACACCACAACCAATTAGCAGACAAAATTTGCTAAAATCATGAGGTACTTCTTGCCGTAATATCGAGTTAAGTGTTGGATTTTCTCCAAATAAAGGCATAAGGTTTTCACATGTTTGTTCATCAAACGCAAGTGAGAAATAAACAAGTATCTGGAAGGCAACTTTTGACAACAATATTAAGGTGTTCCTATATTCAAAACAGTAATTCATCAAAACTGAGTAGTGCTGAAATTGATTTCAGCAGCAAAATTTCCACCATACGCTGGATTATGCTTTATGGCATGCACACGCGAGGTGTTGATGTTTGTTGAGCTTATGGAAATTAGTTTTCATCGCAAATGAGCCCTCCGCATTGCCTAAGGAAATGCCGATCTGGATCAGGACGCTTAGACAGACCTGACTGTTTTGTCACAGAAGTGTTAGGGGAAAACCTTTGCAGGGTTGATCAAAAGCGCCGACGAATCATCGGAATAGCATACCACCAAAGCAATAACATCTTGCAGGAATCAAGCGTTGCTTGCACGATTTAGGTTCCTAATATGAATGCCTAAAAACCCCAACCCTGATATGATTCATAGTCAGAAATCACTTTTCGGTTTTTACCACATCCTTCTGACATCGGTGTAAAATTTAAACCGTTCACGTAACACCGACTTCTCACACGAAAAGCACGTCTTGTGGGCTTTCAAATTCACCCTGACTGCTTAGAATTATGCGCCACAAGCGCGTCGAGCTGAGATGATACTAATTATGCACAACCCCTAATACCCAGCTTAAAACCTAAACAGCCAAACCGCTGGTCATAGACGATGGTCTGTTGGGCAATAGCACAAGTGAAGCATTTGACAAACGTAAGTGAAGATAAAGACCAGTTTGTGCAATGTAAGAACAATCACGAGCTGACTCCTAATCAAGGGTAGCCTGCAACCTCCTGCGCATTCGGAGCAAACAGTCCAAATACCCATTTCGACTTGGCGCGGACACGCGCTTCACAAGTCCAGGCTTTGTTAATGGTAGCCAGGTGCGTACGGTAAAGAGGCAACGTAGCAACCAATCGACGAGAAGTATCTCAACCAATCAGCTAACGAGTCAGCGACGTGCGTGTTTATCTAATTCAATGCATGAGGTTGGATGTGACCACCGCCCAGACGTGGATAACAGGGTGCCGGCAGATTCAAGCATAAATGATGACCTTGAAGTAATCAAGCATACCACGTTTGAAATCATACAACGGATCTTGTTTACCACGTGTACCTGCACTAAGTCATAGTAAGCAATTTTGTTTTGGTGCAAGAAGAACCAATGGCACGGAACTTGGTAAAACTCCGGACTCGGGAACCACGTGGGTGATAAGAGAAGGCTTCTGCAGATAGCTAGAAAGTGTAGAGAGGTAGGGGCCGAATATTCTACAAATTGTGAGGCAGTAAACAAATTTACATCATTTTTTTTGGAACTACTTCGTACTTTTGGTTTTTTTCTCGATCATTAAGGCCAACAAAGCACTACTAAAAATTACTAAATTACTTGGGAAAAGTCCATTTAAGTCAATTTCAGGACTAGAAATCCCGTGTTGTAGATTCGAAAGCAAGCAGCAGTGAAGCCCAACTAGAAGGGCACGACAGCGCTGGTGCGCACTCTGAAGCGCTTCCGGCATATGAGTTTTAATGCCAGTGTTCAGGCTTGAACACGCACAGAGTGGACTGTAGAGAGTCACCGCAGATACTTCGCGATAGCGAGGCAGTGTCAAGCGAAATCATGAAAGTCAAGACGGCGGGTTTTGCTGTTATTCGGCTGTTCCTAGAACTGTTGGTGAATCCTTACTAGCCACGTGTGTACTTGAGGTCGATTTTTCGACTAGTGTAATGTTTTTTGTACCGGCCCCAATTCGTCCAAGTTTGCTTTATTGACCGGTAAATGAGCATTATATTGGTACATATACGGACACACATCGACACGCAAAAACAACAAGGCCTCGTGGCCGAGTGAATGGCGGGCCTTCACCGACTTCAGTCCTCCATCTCTTCCCTAAGTACGACGTGCTGTAGCCTGCCACCGCAGTTTTAGTAACTGATATGACTAAGTATTGTGCGAGTCCCCAAAATAAGCGCCAAGTAATGACTATAGGCCCATGGGTTAGTGGAAGTAAAAGCAATGGTCAATATAGCTGCCGCAATTAGCCAGTATGCCAACATTCATTAAAGGGGGTGGACATTACCAGTAAATTTTTCAGTCGACTGAATTCATACTGAGCTCAAGCTTAAGGATTATTTTCGGAACGAAGCGTAGCCTGGCGGTTAAAGCTCTAATTTTATTTGACGCATGCAATGCTTTGGGGTATGAAAAAAGTATGACTGCTTGCCAATAGCGGCCCTATAAATGGATTTATTATGGGACTATAGAAATCTGTATTACAGAGTTAAACGCATTTTCTATTTTAAAATTTCTCGTCATGTATTCACGCCACCTAAGGCCAATGTAGTTGTACACCTTCGGTAAAGTGAGTAATTACTTCTGAAGTAACGGTAACAAGAGCAGTGTGTGATTAAGATTTCCCGTTTGCTGCCCTACAGACATGGCCAAATTTCTATCCATAAGAAACCAACGCGGTTGGTCATTGGAAATATTGAGTGTGGAATTTGGAATAAACACTGTTCGGCATTTGTCATGCATCGCACGCACGCACGGTGTGCACAGGAGCCGGATTTTAATCGTCCAAATTTCCGACTTACGCAAAGGAAAATACAACTGTTTTGCGATCGCAATAACCACTTTGTCGTGAAAAAAGGGTCATGTAAACACAACTACCAATTTAAATACAGGAGAGACTGAGGCACAATGATTTTGACCTTCGTGTCGACCTTAAATATGTCAATGTGTTAGGGAAAGGGTTTACAGCTATCCAACTACCAAACAGACCTTCTTCTAGGAGAATGCTTAATTAAGTAAAAAAGGTAAACGTCTGCCAACTCGTGATTTTGAGCCTTTGTTAGACTTGAAATCAGAGCTGAAAATGAGCTAGTTCATCTCGTCGCCAAAATTTGTGTTTTGAGGTGAAGCGACTTGGCAAATAGTTGTAAAAATCTGTGCAATGCAGGGACACGATTAGGTAAAATACCTCAACAATACATCTCATAATTATTTCGAAAAGGTAAGACTAGATTTGTTATTCAGAGATGTTTTTTAGTGACCATTTAAGTTTAGTTTCTTATCGACACAGCAGCTTCCGTAAATGTTCTTACATGAGGATACAATGGCCTCCGGAGTATTTCATGGATGAAAGGCTAAATAGCAGCACTTATTGAACCGCATTATTTGCGCCAGTTGTGAATGTGGAAAGAAGTCCAGGTATGAAGGAAATAGACAAGGTATCCAGAAATGTTAAAGGGGAAAATCATATGCTATATACAACTTAAGCATTGGCACACTTAAACTTGTCCCAATGCTTCACTGCGACGGATTCACCGTTAGATTTGGTTTTGGAAGCTACAAATAAAAAAGTTGGGCTAAATGAATATGGCCAGCAAAAAGCCGATGGAGTGAACAAAACTATGTCTACCTCCACGAAGCCCCAGGTCTTCTTAATTAAAAAACAGGAAAAGAATTGTAACTCAATACCATAGGCACGATGTGCGTAGGAAGCAGAAAATTGGTTGAGTACGTTTCAAGTTCTGTATAAATTCAAAACATGCGTCATCAGATCAAATATCAAGCTCACTAGCCTAACTACACAACTGCGTCGGCAACTTGACCATGACCCAACATACTGCACTAAATACCACTCCGTGATTTAGAAGGGTGGGAATGTCTGTGACAGCATCAGAGGTGACCACACACGCGCAGACTGCCGTAGCCGCCACAATTATGAGATTCATAGTTTTCCCATCGCCCGCTGCAAGAAAAGCAGGTGAATCATGGTTGCTTTTAGATCCATACGCTGCTTATGGATGCCTAATCGCAGGGGAACGATGTCTAAAAACAATAAACGGGAGAAAATATTTTTGAGCCCACAACATTTGCCAAATCTGTAATGCTGACCAAACAGAAAATGTGTAAAGGTATAAAAACATTAAGACGAGTTCACGTGTGGGGTTTCAGAAAGACGACGCATGACTTGCTTGTGATGATGCATAAATGAGCATGTGAATAACTTAGAGCTAGGAAATGCGAAAACAGTCTCAACAGAGGTGAGTGTAACGTAGCACACAAAAATAAACGTCCATGCACACCAAAGAGTCCCGAAAAGTCAGAAAGCTTTTTAAGACGCTTCTAGAAGTACATTTATGCATCGTTTGTGTGATTCGATGTATCTTTACAAAAATGCAATAAAAATTACACATTCGAATTATGCATAGGGAAAGTGTCAGACAGGGCAATCCCTTTGCGCTTTTTATGACGGGTGAGCAAAAAGAACCCACCAAAAATTGAATCAAGGTAGAATATCTACTCGGTCAATCGTGCTTGTTAGTAAAACATGCACAGATAATGCTTTTTCAAATTGTTTGGCATGGGCAACACCATTTAAATGAACGTCTGGGATATTAGGAACGCGTCCAAATTACTTTTGTAAAACGAATTCAAATTATCATCCTTTCAGACCGAAATTGTCACAGGAATGCGTCGGCCTGTTTAAACATAGGAAATATTGCTAACAAGTGCAAACATTGCCAACTATGTGCGAAAGGTCACCAAGTAAAAATGCCTTGGCAAAAGACCGCGCACGTGCCAAAACGTGTGTACTAAAAAGATTTCTTGGCGCAAAGGGGTAACAAAGAAAGACACTGAACATCTACTCAACGCGTCTGCCACCGCATTTAAGAATATTTAAACGTCACCAATTCAACGACAATCAACTGGAATATTTGACCTTGATTGTGGTCGCAACTTTGTGTTACAAATTGGAGTAAAAGACCAGAGAACAACATGCTAAGCAAAGGTTAATGAGCCAAATTTTCAAAATCAAGCAGCAATACAAATCAGGCAATTAGATCATTGACAGATCTAATAACTAAAATTTCTGGCTTCTACATGCGGGTGGGGAGTAACTTATTTCATTACCAATAACAAAAGCTTTGCTAGAATCAACTATGTTTACGTACCTGACATTGCTAGGAACTACGACTCAACAATTATCCTTCAGACATCCACATATAGTTTATTAAATAAGTGGAAGATGATGCGGTTGATTTACGTTCAACAATAAAACTATGGGGGGATTAAGATGTTCTGATGGTATGCTATGTCAATTAAATAAGTATTGGCGTTATTGTGTCAGTTGAAGAGATTTGGGAGAAAAACTCTCTAAGAGTGAGCGGTATATTAATTAAAAGATTGAGCAAAAACTGCCACAAAACAAACAGGGACAGTTCTAAAAATGGTGAGACCGCTAACGCGCAAAATTTCAAAGAAAGGGAATGTCGGCAATAGGAAAGTACGTTGCTGACTCCAGTGACACAAGTACTAAATGGTAACAACTATAACGAATTCAACTTTTTCTAATTAGGTGCTACCAGAAACGTATAAGTTTGGTGAACAGTAGATTAAGTCAGAGACATCTTTTCCGATAAATGGGAATAGGTTCCATAGAAAATCAAAATAACGTACCTTCTATAACCTCCTCGAAATGTTGAATCGGGTCCTTTGGTTTTATGAAGGCGGCAGTTGCTTCTAACTCCGATTCAACCAGATCAAGTTGATGAAGAATAAACTTTAGATTGTCCGCATTCCGAGCACCAGCGTTGTAACACAAGGAATCGTCTGCGAATTTCGCTATGATATTTCTCTTGAGGCTGCGTCTCATTGTTTGTAAAATGTTGAGTTCATCGTGAAAGTTCTGATTGAAAAAGACCAGGTTTGAGACGAATACCATGGTTGGGCTATTACCAAACAAGGCTATAATGCAATGGCAAGTAGTTTCGACAGTACCAACACATGAATATGGTAGAGGACACAACTGCATGTTAGCTATTGATTACCAAATTACAACAGCACCAAAGACGACTGAAACTATTTGATAAAAAACATGGACAGTGATAGGAAACATTCCCGACGATTTTAGGCATCTACAAAAACTTAAAAGGACTACTTAGGCCATCAGTAACTTGATGATGACTATAAGTCATTAATATCATTGTGTGGGGCGGAATCAAAAGACGTGTGAGTGCCCATAAGCTAAACGTAAGGAAATTGTACTTAGGCCTTAACTCAGGACTACGTAGACGAACCAACCCACACTGACTTGGCAACCGATCATTACACGAGTGCACTTTTACATGAAATAATATGAAAAATGAGGACGAAATGCAAATAACAAGCGAACTTCAACTAACAAATATAATAATATGCAACAATTTCAAGAGCACCAAACGACGCTTAATTGCATCCTGTCACATGATTTAAGGTAAACATAAATTTTAAAACATATTTAGTTTGCACTAGCAAATATGCATCCAGAACACCATAAATAGTAGAAATGAGTTTAAGAAACACTACAACATGTTGATGTGTGTAAATGTACTAAGAGGAAATGATAAACCGCTTGCCTAGCTGTGCTATTAACAAAAAGCCAAAAGGTATTCGAAATCGACAAATAATCTAGAACATTACCGAATATCCAAATTCATCAACCCTATTCTGCTTCTTCATGAAGTCATTTCTAATCGATAAAACGGCATCAAGCAATTTTTTTATTTCCTTAGAAAGTTCCAAAGCCGAAAGGTTACGCGTATTCATTGTTGACTAGTATGTAATACGTTCTTACGAGTAGTGACGGGGAAACAACGCTAACGCACGCACGAACCAAAGAATGAAATGTTTGTACTGGTGACACACCTAGTGAGTAAAGTCAATTAACTGTTTTAAACACCACCAACGCTATGGATTTAAAACGTTCCTTTTGATAACAAAAAAATCAGGCGCATCTAGTATATTTTAATAATATGTGTATCATAAGATCGCACGTGGCTTTAAGTATATAATTTCAATGACAAATTATGATCCTCATTTCGGCTGCTGAATGCCTTATATTCCATTATATCTTTGGTTTATAAATGCGTTCAAAATAATTTAAAAAAGAAGTTATTTTGTTTTAAATTTGTTTGAAAGAAGTCGAATAGAATCAAAGCTTTTGGTGATTAATAATGCTCCTAGTAATTAGTCGCTGTGTAGTCCAGTCGAAATGAAAATAATCTAATAGCGTTGAATCCATTAAGTAAGTGCTGCTACTTATGGCAAAGGTTTTCTTGCATAACTATTAACTATACTTTAAACTTACAAAATTGCCATTAATATGCCGCAGAATACATATTAAGAATTAAATTGTTGGATTGCTTAGGATAATATAGATTCAAATGATGTGTAGTGCAGACAAAGTTAGAAAATTTAGCCTATATCTTGCATTCTTAAGTCGATTGGGAAGATATGATGGATTAAAAAAATGTCAGTATTATAAATCAATAAATAATAACTCATACCCTAATATCTGACATGAAGCTAGTGACTCAAAATTGCTTGCGTTAGATTTGATGCTAAAATGTAAGACAATTCAGTTTAAAATATAATCTCACAATTACACGACGAATTTAGCAAACTCAGCTAATAAATGTAGATAAACAACAAATGTTAAATTACCAGGCTATTTTTGCTTGACATTAATGTACTTGCTGCTGACAGAAAGGGATTTAATTCCCTAGGCAAGTGTTTTTGAATTTTAAAATATTGATTTACAATTTTTCTGCTTCCTCCTATTTCAATTGACCATAGGTCCTTACTATCGACACTGCTACATAATGTTAGATTCTAAATATTGTAAAAGTCGACATGCCTCATAGTTCATCGCTTGTGATAATAGATGTGTGCTTCAAATGATTCCTTCAACGACTAGATTTGAGGACATGCTAGTCTTCAGGCAAAAAAGGTAAATAACAATAAATGGATGTAAGTGTTTTGCGTTCAAACACGGCAATTTTGTCAACGTAGTTTCTCAAGCATCTTTGCAAATCTCACCTGATGTATAAACTAATAATGAATCTATTAAGATCACTGAAAACTGTGCAGGTGTCATTTAGTTGCCGTGATTATTAAATCCACTAGTTTTACCGAGCAGTTTGCTGCAACACGTCACGTTTTCATTGGCTCAATTTCAGCGTTATTTTGTCGTGGTTGGTATTTGAATGGATTATTTGCTTGGTTCTGTGTTTTCTGTCCTGGAGTGCCCTCGCCTCCGAATTAAAAAACCTTCATGGGTCCAGTTACCATCCAGAATGACTGTCTTCTCTTTTGTTTTGTTCACCTACTTTCTGGTTACCGGGGGTACCGAGATTCATTATCTAATATATTGTTAACAAGGCATTATTTTTGACATTATAAATGGACCACCTAGTGTTGGCACGGAAACAGATGCAAGAGGGAATCAAAGACCTGTAAGGCCTTCATCATTCATACACTTAATGCTTAGGTTGCTTTTATGCAATGGCGAATCAACAGTCAGTATATCTTGGAGGGTTTGCTTTGTAGCTTTATGTTTACCCTCGGAGCTATTGGGTTTATTATACTTGACAAGGTTAACGAATCCAAAATGACGAGGCTGGCACGCGTCATTATGCTAGCTTTGGGAGTTGCGTTTGTTCTTACGTCATTTATTTCGGTTCGTGCGTTCATGAAGATTAAGATGCCGTAGGTTCAGAAATCACTTCTATTTCTTTTAGGTCATATCGGTTTTGACAGGCAGGGCCTCTACAGTGTCACAGTACTGCAGTTGCTGTTTTTTGATTTTCAGCGGACCGCTTTTGATAAAAATATACATATGTAAAAGCCTTTGCACTCTTTCGAATATCCGACTGTAATTAGTAAACATTTTTCTGGCATTCCTCTTTTCTATTATATTTTTGGTCGAATTAAAATACGTACTTTTTTCCCAAACTATTTGTGTCTATGAAGATAAGCTGGGCTCGGATTCCTGCTTTTTTGTTTTTGTATTATTTTTATACATTCTTAATTATGTAGAATGAGATAACATATTATTTTCTCGTGTTTTAATTTGGTTTTCTTGCTCCCAACATAGGCTAAGTTAGAAGATAGCCTTAATAAAAGTGTATTGATTCTCGGCAATTACAGCCTACTATTGGACTCAAGTTTGTGAGTGTTAAACTGAAAATACCTTATTGTCTGATTTGGTAATTCTCAATGACGTGTTTCCATCTGATAGTAATGATACAGTAGTGGTATGACGCCGATCACTTCCTCTATGACGACAAATCGCTATGGGACATGTATGATTTTAGTCTCCCAACCTGGAAAATCTAATTTTTTTATAGGTTACAGAATTTCTGAGACCACAGGCCATCACTAACGCCTTGGTAAATGTCATAGTGATGGTCAAAACCATGTCACCAAATATCTACATCACGATAGTCGCTAGCAAATGTTGTATTCCAGTACCCAAAATTGCGTTGGATACGCGCTTCTTTTTTACTTAGGGCAATCGGCGGTATCTTTTGCTTTCAAGTAATTCAGTTGATTTTGTCGTTATACGATCCTTGACTAGGTGGGGTTTTTATTATTTACCTCGTACAATCAATCGATTTGCACGCTCATCAGCCACATGCACAATATAGCGAATGTTTACGATTTATCCTCTGGTATGCTACAAACTCCTGATATGCTTTATTGCTCCCGCCGTCTAAAGATGGGGATTGTAATCATGATGCGACTGAACAAGATGGAGATTTCGCGGCTACGAAGCATCATGTCTCGTGCAGAGGAATTTCATGGGGGGTCCGTCCAACTATTACTATGGAACACTCATGTGCGAGAACATCGATCTGCAGCAGGAATGCCTACCAAGTAAATGCCGACGACCAATTCAGATTTCGTATCGTCTGGTTTTACCAGCTTACGGCTAGTATAGACTATACCCATTGCAATTATGTACGCTGGTGGTATTCAACCGTAATACACGAAAGTAGCACCTCAAATTCACCACATAAGTACTACTGTATAATTTAAGCCGAACTTTGTGGTCCATTGCGATTTCGCGCCCTGCACTGACGATGCTCCGTGCCAACTTAAGGTGCTGCACGCAGTATACCTTTCATTCCCAGACATCTCGAGCTAATGAAATTTTACTAAACCCACAAAGGAGCTAGATTATAGCAGGTTAGTGTTAAAAAAAACCAAACTAGCGGATGTAGTAATTTACCCTAGACTCTACGAGGGTCTAATCACTTACAGAATAGTTTCGCTGAGTAAAAGTTGCACGATGGCAATAATTAGGAGTGTTCTACTTTAAACGCTTGCTCGCATCTTGCGTGGAACTAACATGGCAGTTGATATTTCTTATTAGCTTAAATAAATAAGACAGCTGCTGAGACATTTGGCCCGTTCTCTAAAGCAAGTCTTGAGCGGTTAGCCAATGGAGTCAAATGAATTCGCGTGGACGGCAACTAGTCACAACGACGAAACAAACAATTCTACATGGTAATAAAAGGTAACACCAAGGAAGCCTGATGACAAGTTCTAATAGTTTATTCTTAGTAAAATACCTGAGGCGATAACAATTATTAAAGTCAAAAAGGCGTTAAAGCCAAGAAATGAGGAAAACTACTGCTTGCTTCAGTGCATTTAAAGTTTAATTCAAAACCTCCTGCAACACTTCTGGCTTCGGGTTTAGGAAAGCCAGTCCTTCGGGAGTATTCTTATGTGGTGGATCCGTGTATTTAAGTATATCAAGGCTATATAGAGTCTAAAGAACTAAACACATTAAGGTAAGCTTACTATTCCAAGAGATAGAGCAAAACTAATAATCCCCAAATACATATAACGTGAATACTCCGCATTCATTGAATCATACTTTTCCTGCCAAGATCCCTCGGGCTTGGTCATATCATTGTAAGTCACACTCGGAAAACGCATGGGTTGGACATGGGAGGAGGCAATTGGAACCAAAATAGGTCTTGCAGCTAAAAAAATAGAAAACCGCCAAATTACCGTTACCTTTCAAAAAAAGCTTAGAAAACCCCGGAACAATCCCCGCCATTTCACAGAAATGTACAATTGGGTCAACTCAGGAGGTGGGATACACCGACCAATCACTGTTAGGTACACAATGATAGCAAGAACGACTGTTAAAAAAATTGTATTTACATTTCCGTTGCAAAATAAACCAACGTTACTGAGTTAAATAGATGCTCAAATATTTACATCTTTTAAAGGAGGCATAAAACAGTCATCAACTATGTGTTTTGACATGACTATAAGCAATGGAGAAACTGTCGACTTTATGTCATTTCTATTTGTATTTGCACATTATCCTGATAGTAAATTGAAAAATCCATGCTAAACTATTTGAGGCCAAACATTTGCATTTTCAGGTCTCTGTTTTGTCATGTCTTCCCACCTATTTGTTTGATATTTCTAAGGAAAATCCCAGCCTATTTAAGTGGATTTAAAGTTCTGATTACGGTAAACATTCATGCAAGTCCTTTGATTTCACATGGCACAACTTGATTTAATAAGTAGCTATATGTAAACCCATGAAGGAAACCTATCTAAGCAATTTAAAAAAAATACGCCCAAGTTATGGACTTGAAGACTTTTGCCGAAACTAGGCTTCGTAAATATTCATTGGCGATGTAGTAGCTCCTTACAAATTCAATTTTTTTATGCTGAACGACATTTTTAAGAACCTTTTAAAACTTCTATACATGTTTTAGAATCCCTAATCAAGAATGATGTAAATGATGGATGATATTTGGGTTATGATTGGTTACTTCGCTGCTAATTTTTTTAAAATAGTGTTAATTGGCGAAGTGAGTCATGCGTCAGCTTAAGGAACAGGAATACAATGCTCTCGTGGAAAAATTGCTGAAATAGTAAAGATCGTCTTTTTTACTTTTTTGTGGTAGTATTCAAGACGTTAATATGCTTCTTGAACGTAGCGGTGAAAAGTACAACTTTTACTATCATCGTGAACGTGTTTTCTACTGTCGGTAAGGGTGTCTTACATTTGCTTAATTCCATTAGGGAGGACTTAGCTAAACGTGCCATGAATATTACGCGCAAAAATCTCCTAAGCTTTGGGACGTGCTTTGGAAAATTTACCAAAACAAAGAAATTCCGACTCCATATTACGGCTCTGGCGTACCTATCACCATATGCAAAGTATCGTATCTGGGTTAAACCTTCAGCTGAGCAACAGTTTTTGTACGGGCAGCACATTTTAAAGTCGGGTTTAGCCCGTGTGTCTGAAGACACTCCACAGTATGCTGGTGTTGTTGTGATGAACATGAATGATATACCTTTAGTAAGTTTTCGTTATATTAATGAGGCGTTTAAGGGCTTCGGCGTTGCAGCGAAGTCGACGCTCCAGATAAAGAATACGGACCCAATGACTATTATCGGGTTTCACCAGGCTGACATCGGTGAATACATTAGAAGTGAAGAAACCATCGTTTAGCTGTACTGAAGTATGAACATTTGTAAATAAAAGCTTCTTCATGTAAGTTTTAATTCACTCTGAATATGCTACTTGGGTGATTCATTTCTTTCGGCTACACAGTAGTAGAAGTTTTTTTGCATTAGCAGTTGAATTTTGGTCAAGGTCCCCTTCTGCTTAAGTCATATCCTACCATTTAAAGCAATGCCACAAGCTAATTGCGTACTTATTGAATAGATTGAAATTATAAAACGCCTAACCCTTTGACCCTTGTGACTTTCCAAAAGACTAAATGGATTGTAGTATTCTACTCTAAAGACTCGATTCGGCAAAACGTAACCTGCATCAGTTGGCTACGAACCACCCATTTTTCCCGTCAAGGAGTGGGGTTGCAAGGCATGGTCCAAAGCGATAACTCACATCCAAAGCAGACACGGTGCATGAAGTAGTGATTTAAGGGAAGCAGGTCAAAGTACGATGATTTTCAGGGATTGCTCCTTTACTTGACACGAGTTCACTGGGTAATGTGTCTGTTCGTCCTCCATGACAGTATCGCCTTAGTACCAAAAATCCGTTTCACACCACAAGGATCTGAGGATTCATCGTTTAGTGGTTCGAAGGGGGAGTCAGCATCGTCGTCCGTTCGACCACTTTGTGCGCTGCAATTAAATTCGACTGGAACCAGAAACGACCTTGAAGCGTGTTTGCAGGAATGGTCACCGTAAGCGCAGGATGCTGTCTAACACCTCACAGACGGCGTGTGCTTACTTTATGTAACCGTCGGCGTCTTATAACCACTTCCAGCTATACAAGAACTTTCACCAACATTGAGACACCCACATAATGAAAGGAAGTGTACTCGACTCCGCTGGATTGTATACACAAGAATAGAAGAAGGCCGCTTTGAAAATGAACAATGCAGCTTCAATATTTTTCGTGTGTAAGCACACATAGAAAATCACTGTCAAGATCACAGCTAGGCGATGAAAGCGGACTAAGTAGCCCACTTAGGAGACTGAAACGTTTACCTGAAGGGCAAAATCCACTTTTAGCAGGCGGTCCTCAAACCTGTACGCCGGCAGAACCAGTTCTCGCTTGCTCTTTGTTGGAATTATCCTAGCATAACCGTTCCAGTGGTTTCCTAAAGTTGCCACAAGATCACCGACCTCGATTCCAGCTTCTTTATCATCTACAATGGCTGCCTGGTACCATGTCTGTTGACCACCGTAGTAATAGCCATCATCAAGGGACTGAGCACGCGTTGAAGCATCACCGAGCTGCATTGGACGAGTCTGCATTAATTCGTATGCAAGGCGGCAGATCTGCGGACAAAATATCAAGTAGACTGAACCAATCGTGGATTCCGGAATTCAGTTCGATGTTGATTGTCAATTATCAATCAGTATAAAACTGTCAATAAGTCGCAAACACAGTAACCGTTTGCGTGTGGCGAAATATACGCGCACCTAAGATAACTTGTAAAGAGGAGACGAATTTACAGATTAGACATACCAAAACCTCAGCCCTTAGTACAAGACTTGATAAATTAATAATTGGGGGCAATTTAGAGACATCTTCGAGTTGCAACAGTCTGATGACTGACCGGCGTTGAAAAAATAGTGATGCAAAACTGTGATCGTGACGGCATGCTTTAGTAGTGGAATTGATTTGAATGTTAATGAGATGGCTAAAGTCAGCGAACAAGATGACACTTGTTGACCCATACTAAGGGGTTTTGCGGTCTGAAATGAGGAGTTCCAGAGCGAAGTCCTAGCATACAAGGTTGTGGAGTTCCGCAGATGGTACGACACAAAAATGTGACAAAGAGAGCTAAAATTGCTGATATGGGGATTCGCGACAAATTTGCACCATTGAGGATTCTGAAACTTGGAACATTGCTAATACCCAGTTCATCAGCAGAAAATTGGAAAATACTAGTGAGGTATCGAGTCAGATTCCATCATAAAAATCTATAGCGGGCAAACTAGGAATCCGGTCAGTTCTAACAAGCAAGATGCCCCATCCTATGCGTGCAACCTACCTGCGAAGAAAAGGTGCAAACGATGTAATCGGTGTGCGATAGGGCCACAACGTCTGTGATAACGGCAAGGAGAGATTCGTGGGTGTAACGAGTAGCCAGTGATGCTGACTGGGCACGCTTAACGTCTCCAATGAATTCGTAACGTGGTTTTCCCTCCGAGGGAGAAGAGGGATAGGAGCGTCGGGCTTCGGCAATCACCTCAGGGTCATCGGTCGCAATGAAGACACGTCTTGTGATTGGTGTCTTTAGCTGAGGGCAGTCGTCTCCACGCCATTCCTTGAGAATAAAAAATATACATTTTGTTACGGCTGAATTACGCGGAAACGGGCAACGTTATTGTCAACTTCAACCAACAATCTTACTTTTCGACCTAACGAGTCACGTGGTGGTGTTACTTTTGTGGTTAGGTCGCCATACGCCAACTCCAAGCTCAAAATATGTAATATATAAAAACTGTTTATGGTAAGCTGAGATGAACCATTTAACGTCTTGAAAACACAAAATTGGTTTATTGAAGTAGCGGTAAGTGGAATAAAAAACGCAGGAGCCCAAACGAGCTTGAAATCTGTTCGGCCATACCCAATCGTAGTCTTCCGAGATGCAAACCTCATAAACATATGACTAAACTTTTGTGTAAAACAGGAACATTTACCTCGTGTCTGGATCTCATTAAACGCTCAGCATCGAGTTTATCGAAGTAGCGATCAACGTAGACCATATATTCATCCAGTTTGTGAAATTCAGCTTCAGATTTAATCTAAACAAAACAGAATGAGATGTAAATCAAGGACGCATCACCTTTATGCACAATGAACGTGGTTGAATTAATTTGTGATACGAAATACTATAAGTGACAGTGTACTACCAAAGCCAAAAGACACCAAAAATAGAAGATTCAAGCGTGAGATCTTTCGTCATGTCGTCCACAGTGTCCCAGGATGACATATAATTGCAGCCGATTTCTCATGAACTTCGTGGTTCATAGATAAGTTACTTCTTCCTTGTTTTCCAAATATTACGAATATGATTTAGAATATTCAGAAAAGCAAGGAGGTACAAATCAATGAAAAGTCATGTGACTTATAACATTGGTAAACGGTAAAAAGTTCTAATTTAGGAATAAAGTAAGACGCAACCATTTTTAAGATGACTCAACTGATTGTTTAGATTCGCCAGATATTTCATATTTAAAAAAAACCCGCCTTAAATGCTAGTTTAAGTACTTTTCCGACAGTGAATATAGCACACAGAAAAGTATCATTAAAGAGGTAACAACGAAATGCTCCAAGACTAATGCACCGCGTATAGCACAGATTGTTCAGCCTCCATGAGATGCAGATTCCTGCATACTAATTTACATGCATGAGTTCACCCCACTCTCATCGGCTCTATAGAAAAGAAGGTATCACTTCAGTTGACAAGAAAAACGCAGCGTCTTAAAAATAATCTGCGAAAAAATCCCTATCTGTCAAGTAGTAGAAAACATCAAAGGCCAGATCTCATCTTCAAGTCGTACAAATGTAGACAAGGTCAGGTTTAGGGACGCAAAAACTAACAACAGAGCTTAAGATTGCTCTTGGAGGGAGAGGCAATTATATTTAAGTGTTTAACATTAAATGGAATGTTTTGTCAAAGAACTACGCTAAAGTAACTTTACAAGTCTCATGTCACAACTATCTTTGTTCTTCTGAAAAACAACGCCGAATTTGCTATCCAATTGCTCAAGCGCTTCACAACCACCCTCGTTGACATATTTGAATAGGCAACGAGCAACGGTCCATGCAACATACCTGGACTCCTTCGAAAGTGCATGTGGTAGGAACTTTGTTTACTTAGATGCCACGAAATAATCTTAAACTCAAGTTAGGAGTCATTTCAAGACCAATCCAAGAAGGCACTCATATCTTTAGATAAACAGAATTTTATAATTAAGTAATTCCCCCATGTGTGGACAACTGGGCAAATCAAATTCGTAACAGACTAAGAAGGACACAGGAATAGTAAGTGACGTTTTTACTACGAGCAAACCAGCGATTTACATCAATTCTGGGGGTCACAAATCCCCTTGAAAATATTGCAAAAAATCCATGGCGTGTATTGTACGACAGACATTCGCTTTTTACGTTTGATATTCACACGAGGGATAAATTTAAGGAGGCGGTTTAATAAAGGGCAATAGATTTAAGTTTGTGCAATGCACTAACATCAGTTAATGGTGGAGACGCGCGAAGACCCTGGACGACAATTATGAATTCAACCCGCCAGCGCTGAAAAAAACCTACCATCTAGCGGACGCCACACAATCAGTGTCTGCGAGCGTCAGACCAAGGAATAAGCCTTAAAATGCTAATGATCGCGTAAAAAAGGATGCAGACCATTGAAACGTGGTGACGAGTCAAAAGGGTAATTTTCCGCCACGGGGCGGAGCTACTGAACAGCCGAGTAAAACGAAACAGCTGAAAGTGCCAAAACACACCCAAGGCATAGTTAACACATGTGTCTTGCAGTGGAAGGCGAGTTGGAGCTAAAATATTACCAACTCCAGTGGGACATAAAAATGTTAAAAAGGTTAAATCAAACAAAAAATGACAGCTTGAATATTCTTGTCTCGGATTAGGAAAGGTAACTGGTCGCAGACTGCAAGCTTGGAGTCAAGTCATAGTGGTGCATTTGTGGCGCATTTTAGGACAGGCGGACTCGTGAATCAGGACTTACTTGTGCTAAAAATCAACTTTGTAAACCGATACATCCAGTACCCGAGACAAGGCAACTCAGCCTAGTCGTTTAGCTAATTCAGCACCCTTAAATAACCACCCGCCTACTAACAGGAAGGCCACAACGATAAGACATTGTGAGACCTCACAAACGACTAGCACTCAAATGGGGCTTCTCTTACCTTATCTGTGCGTCGAATATGAACCCCAACCACAGGAGAGGTGTCCGGCGTGCCCCTTACCATGCTGACGACCTTTTCAACGGACTCTGAGACCTGGCCCTCCTTGAGCCGCATGATATAGGCCAGGAGATGGCCAGAAAACCAGATCGCCGGGGCCCCATGAAGATGCGCCAGGGCATCGGCGATTGACGTTGGCACAGCTGGGGGTGCGTATTGTGGTATTTCATGAAATTGTTCCACAATGGGACAGTAAACGTAATCTGCATTCTCAAAACCAGGAGCTAGAGCAAGGATAAAACCATTCATTACAATATAATAACAGCGGTCAATAAATACAAGCATTGTGAAATGCAAAACAGTTACGAGCTGTGAAACTCGAGATGCGAAACACTACTATGATTTGATTAATGAAGTGACATAATATAACGACAAAGCCAAATCTCAGGTATGGTATTCTGAAGCCCTTTCATCACGGAGTACTCTTCAATAAACGATATCCGCCTCAGTGAAACAACCTAACGATTGAAGTTTGCAGTCGGATTAATGAATTTGAGTGTGAGGACAAGCATAAAACCACGGGGTTTTTGCATGAGCCATTTTACTCACAAGAACAGATAAATCGAAACCACAAACAAGTGGGGGATTTCACTTCTCACTAACCAGGCAAATTAAGTTTATGATGAGAAGAAATGACTATTAAAGTAAGCCAGGTCATTGGCGTTTGTCAGTCAAGGCATTCTGCAAACCATTCCCGTCAGTCTAAGCGAAAAGTAATACCCTGCCTTAACTAATACCGAATTAACGTAGTAGTATAGTGGGTAAGAACTACCATGAAGTCAAAAAGCAAGGCAATCGATCCTTCTGATTCGCCTTCGTCCCATGAAAACACACTGAAAACGACGGACGATAGCAAGGCGAGTAAGGCAACTTTGCACACCTTGTTATTGGTAAAATTAGAGTAACCGATTAGTCAAAATAACTAAATTTGGTGCAATACAAAAACAATCATTTCCTGCGTGCATATATCACGCACAGAGAGACGAAAAGTTCGCAATGAGACAATCATTTCTAGCAATAAAAAGTAAAGAGCATGTGGATACAGACAAAGGGTCATTGACTTAGCAAGCACAAAACTGATTAAATGATTGAAAACAAACGCACAGCCCCACGTAATAGGGTTTCCGTTAGCACCAGTTTTAACAGAGGGGCACGAAGTGAGGGGGCGAAACACGGAGAAGAAGCCGTTTTTGGAATAGGAATACTCGTCGGTGATCAAGTGGAGGACACGATTGGTTGCGACGGCGAGTCGAAAGCAGTGGGCAGCGTGGTGAAGCTGGCAGCCGAAACCGCACGATTTGTTTATGTTCATGAGGAGGTGTTTCGACTTGGTACAGTTCTTCGGGTTCTGATTTGTAGCACAAGCAAATGAATGGCACAAATCAAGCACAGAAGACATGCGTTTGACGCCATCAAACAAACCGGCATAATAAAGTGACAGTGGACAAAATGTTAACGTGTCAACTCCAGAATGCGATAAGCTATTATGTACACAAGTTTATACTAGATATACCATTTTCGTACCACTTGTTGCATATCAAATTGGAAAACAGAATGGCTTTAGCATCAATAGTACTAGAAAGACCAATGGTGCTAAAGAAGCAGATTTCAACTCTGTACAAAGATGAGCACGTTCGGCAGATTGAGGACATCAAAGGTCTCAACTAATGCAACAGGATCAAACGAGATTAACACTCTGATTTGGTCCTGGTACAAGTGAACAAGTTTTGAAGTACGGAGGATGTGAGACTCGGTAACAGGGAAGATGGGCGCATTTGAATGCTCATACTTCAAACTGTTCCCTTGAAAACAATTTAAGTAGGCAACACGCGGTGACACCATCGGACTACTTTGATTAAGCTTTGTGAAATATTATATTTATAAAACTACTTGCCGTGACTACAAATAAGATAACTCCAAAATCAGGTATTAAAATCGGTTATACAGAAAGGCTAATATCAGCGAGACTTTAGAGTTCAGTTTGGAAGATGCAGTGCATGTATCAGAATCGAAATCGTCCAAGTAATTAGCACAGTTCATTAACAACCCCAAGGCGCGTAACCTTCTAGTACAAGACACGCCGAAGATAAACAAAAATCAGATGTTAGCAGATGCAAATTAAATAATGCATCTTCCTACCCTCCTGTTAGTTTAAAAAAATTGGCCCGTGAATGCGATGCTATTTCTTAAACACGTAAGCAGCATAAGGTATGAAAAACATCATTGAGTACCTGAAGTTTATCGAGTTCCGAGTTTAAGGCGTCGGTGAGTCGTTGTAACGCGACTCGTTGGGCGGTCCCAGCACCATTGACACGCGCCAGGCCCTCCACGTTCACCTCCAGCAAGTCAGTTAGTTCGGAGAAGACGGCCAGCACCGCATCAACGTCTTTCACGAACGTGTCTGGCAGAGATTTAATCTTACGCCACTCACGGAGCTTCGCCTGCATCAGATTACGGGACTCACGCGTGAGTCGAATCGCTCGACGCTGAAGAACATGATGACTATAGCCCAACAGGGAATCTAAAACAAAAGATCAGATAAACAGTACGGAAAGTAACCTTTTCACCCCAATCGATATCAGTTGTACTGGTACCTCGCGCAAATGGAGGCCAAGTAATCTTTGAATTGCGTTATTTTGCGAGTTTTGCAAAATAACTTGTGAAAGTGTAATTGTGTAATAAAACAGACTTGTTACACGATATGAGGTCATCTGGAAAACAATCACAGTCGGCTTAGAATCAGGACCACGAGGCAACTTGTAGGGGCCGAAATTAGACTTAAGTATCCGGGATAGAGAAGCCGCCATAAAAGTTGACGATAACTATGGCGTCAAGAACAATGGCAAACACTTATTTCACGATTTCGTTATTTGTGAAAACCTTAATGTGACAAAACAAGCATCATTTTCGAGCAAATCATACAAGAAATGAGGACTTTTAGGGAAGACCGCACACAAAGATGCAAGTGTTGAAAAAGTGCGCGGTTGACAAATGCTGTAGAACCAATAAGCTGTAATCGAAGACGTGATTAGGAACGTAATTCGGCCAAAGAAGAAAACAGGCTTTAGTTTAATCTGCGTAACTAAAAATCTAAGATAATGAGTTAACAGTATGTACTAAAACGTTTGAACGTTGGAGTTTCGCATCACATTTAGAGGTAAGGGAAAGTAGACTTGAATTTTGAGTGCATACGGATTTTTGTGGTGCATTTTTAGGTGGAGAACCGCTGCGATTCTTCGAAGACACCTAACCTAAAAGTCTACTCCAAGAATTTAGGAGAGTTGATTGACCAGAGGCATAATTGGTTTAACCAATTTCGACAATCCTTAGGTGCCTCGGGGTGGGAAACATAACGATATCAATTACACGAGAGACAGGTAACCATCATTAATGTTATTAAAGATGAGAAGTAATATGATTTCAAATGGAAACAAAGATGAGTCCGAAGAAATGATACTCTGTTATACGCAGAATGCTATTTGTGCGTTAAAATGTGAAAAATTGAAACCAAGTTGTTTAAAAATCCATAGCGCTAAGCTACTAACTGCGTGCTAACGGAGGCATGAAGAATTGATAGTCAAATAACGCAATGTTAACAATTAAAAGTCATGCAAGCAACCCGCCACGCGAATAGATATAAAATGAAAGTATATTTGCGGGAAGCCATAGGAAAGAGGATGGCGTGAAGTTCTGAACAAAGACCATGTGGTCATACCACACGTATTTATGCAGCACAAATCGTAGATACACATCATGAGTACTTTATTTATGAACGTTCACTAGTAATCATCAATGTGTGCAAATTTAATCAGCTAATGATCATTAAAGTATAATTAATAGGCATTTTACCAGACCACGATTATTCATTATTGAGTGCATATTTGAAGTTTGCGTCCTTTCTTTGGAAAATAGGATAAAAAAGAAAGTTTGTGAGACCATAACAGTCTCCTGCTTATATTACAAAAAGGAATGCTAAGCTGTCTGATTCAACTTACAGTTGCTGACCTGGATAGCAACCTCAGGTTTCCTAAAAAGAACAAGGAGAAATAAGCAAAAAAACATGGTTTAGTGCGTATATTCCAAAGGAATGAATCAAGAGTTAGAGCCAAATAGGTTGCGTAACGACACGAAGAAAGGATCACAACTAAGCTTTCCCCTAATACCGAAAAATGGAATCGAGAAGGTTCTTAATGATTGGCATTAAGGTCCGACCGAAAACTCTGCTTAGAAAATACTCAAATCCCCATTTTGAACTACTCAAAGGTAACTCGAGGGTATTCTATTTCTAGATAAGAAATAGGGTGATTGGCAACCCCAGACAATCCGAACTTACAGATTTTCCTAAATGTTCATACAGAAAAGTAGTGACTATAATGAACAACCATACCTGCACAAGCACTAGCACTGGATGACTTGACAATATTACCTTTGAACACAACATTTAGTGCTTTAATAATAAAATGCTTCGCGCTGGCTCTCTGTCAGTGATAATATCAGCCAGATGCGTAAAGCATGAAAACTTCGATTCTGGAATTCAGGCATGATTCAGTAAAACACGATTTATCAACTCAACAAATTATAACGAAATGTTAAACCACTTCAAGAAGACACGTAGACGGAGCGAAACAAAAACAACAATATATTCTCCTTTACCGAATAATAATATGAAATTGTCCTCGTTGTGGTAAAATTTGATCCAAACTTAGATTTCGGAGCTCTGCTGATTTTTTATTTAATTACAATTATCACTCAAATAAGTAACGTTGGAAGCCGCCATTGAAGCAAGTTATACATTTTAAGCAAACGTGAAAGCAACATACCGTAATTCTTCTTGTCGAGCGCTTTCATTATTTTCACCTAGAGCAGAACCCGAAGGCGGCACAGGTGGGCAATGGTTAGGTTTGTTCATAACCGACAAGAAAAGGTACATGTAGGTTGTCACCAGGAAGATCAGTGCCGCCGAAAAAAACCATTTGAATTTGAACATGGCGCTTGGCTACAATAAAAGAGTACATGACGAGCATAAATTAGACTCGCACACACACCCTCGATGACAAGTGTGGAAGCAACTTAAGGAATCAAAACCTAATTACTTGGCAGAACAGGGATGATGCAAATATCAACATCGCAATAAAATAAATGCAACCGTTTCCGTAAGCCGAAATTATTAGACAATAGTATCATAATGCACCCATGGGAAATGTATTTTAACTATTCATGGGATAGAATGACGTCACTAGAGAAGTATGGGAAAAACAATGCTATCAAAGATGAGATAGAGGTCAACTTCATTAGTGTGAGTTAGGAATGTGTATAAAAACACTGTTAGAAATGATAAATCATCAATTAAAAATCAAATTAAGCACAAGGGTTTGCAAATTAAATGGTCTAGTCGAGCTGAGTTCATGTGTGATACTTTGTGGATGCGGAGCCATGTTTTTTTCAGAACGATTAGGAGAACTAGTGAAATTGGACAAAAGTGAGCAAGACAACCCTATCAACTCCAATTTTTAATTTTGAACTTGAATTAAGACACCTGTAGATTTGGGGATATCGACACTTTGGCACCGCCGACAAAATTCAAACAGGCCAATTTACCACATTCTCCTATAGAATATATACATTTACGATGCAGGCAAACAGTTTCTAATAAAATTGTGATTTTATAAACGTGATTATTTATAACGACAACGTTTATACAGTCAACCTGTCACGCTACATTCTGGTTTCGTGCTCAGGGCTGACACCTAAAAAAAATCAGAAGCAACATAACCCAATCAACAATAATCCTTCCCAACGACACCTTTTACAAAACAGCAAAAATTATAGCATAAAACAATACAGAAAACAGGACAATTTATAAGTACCTAAAAATAAATATGTCATCACTCCGTCGTAAAACACAGGAATAAAATTCAAACTGAATCAAAGGTACCTATAATCCATATTAGTAAGCAAAAGAAATTAACGGTTAAATACATGAAGAGAAACATGCACATTGGAAAACCAAACAAAACACGAATTTAGCCCAACACAATTGCAAAGCACCCTCCTTAAGCAATTCTCCTAAGGTCATATTGACTATTGTAAACAATATTCATAAGGACGTTTTTTGTGAACAAATGCATTTATAATTACAGTCTCGAAAGTTAAAAGATTATAATGACATATAATTATAGCATTTGCACCAATAGTTAACTCTTAAATAGGGTTATGTTTCATTCAGCTAATTTGTAAGAAAAACATGCAAATGTAATACAAGTTTTTTGAAAGATTAAAAATGTATTAGCTAGGACTCTTTATGTAAGCATGCATTAACATATGTGAATCAAGAGAATTTGGTTATCAGATAATGAGGTAGACAAAGATGCAGACAGTGTCTTTTTCAAGAGCTAACTAGTTTCAATGGCTTCTCCCGCATTAGGTTGGTCTCCTCTGTTCTTAAGGGAGTTATATTTTGAGTGTTTATTTAGCATGAGTCTAATTTGTTTAGTTTGATACTAAGTGATTTAACTCCGTTCCAATGGTCCAGTTAATTGGTGTCAAGAATATCTGTCTCAGTCTTATATAAATTATGCGCTTAATCCTTGTCAGCAGAGAATATTTTATTTATTCCGTACTTACCATGCCCTATCTAATAAATATTTGCCACTGAAATCAACTGCACCTCAGATGAGTGCTACTGGACATCAATCTAAAAATTTTAATATACACCTTTTACTACTTAGTGTTTTACCAAAACTACGTGCTCTGGGTCATTTGGCTAACTTGTCCCCTTGCTCATGCTCTATTTATGAAACATATATTTGAGAATTTTTACTTATTTGCACATCCTGTCATCTCCCCAACTTTGCGCTCAATAGACAACTGTTTATCTGGGCTACTGATTGCAAAGATTTTCTTTTATTGTTTAAACTCAGTATTTACTTTCAACTAGATAAAGTTCATCGACATATTCTATGACACCCAAGACCCTTTTTTTCCTCTCAGACGTGCATTTTCGCCAAGCACCTGGCAATTAACTTTTGTCTTTATCTACCGTCTCGTGGATTAAACTCTTTACTAAACTGTATGAACCGTTTAAGCTTCTAACTGATTTCAGCCCTAATTAAATACAGTTTGATCGTAACTGGTGTCCGCACAATTTAAAATTACGTGTATCATCACTAAGTGTTCCTAGTTCTGCCACCTCTAAACATATATATATATATAT